GTTGGAGGTTGGGATAATGGTAATTATTTAAGATCTAGAAAGGGATAATTGGGTTAAACCTTGAATAACTTGAACCTTTCCTTCACATCCCCACATCCCATTCCCATCTAATCTTGCAGGCTGGAGGGAGAAGCTGAGAGTCTAGGTCAAGGACTGCTGCTCCATCTGCAGGGAGAGAGTGACTATTGTTGGCCTTTTACATCCAGCCGCGGTGAGAGAACGGTTGTGGCCATCCGCCTGCACTGCAACCATCTGATCTGGTCGCCCCATCACTGTGAGAGAGTGAAGGGGCCCCAGCTTCATCCTGGCCAGCCTCTTTTGCCATCTCTCACCTCAATGACTATCTTTAAATTTCGCTGACCTCCAAGGTTCCCCTTTTCCATCTCATCATACTTGTATGGCTTATACCTCGGCAGATTTGCTTGCGCTGCGAGATGCCCCCCTCTCGCGGCGATGGCCTTCCACTCTATCGAAGGCCTACCTTAAGGACGGGCTTTGGAGCCCCGAGAGGTGGCATGTTTTAAAGCGGGGATTGAGGGGTTTTTTAATTAGGGTTTTTAATAATCTTTTAAGGGGAACTGGGAGGGTGACCAAAGGGGATGGGGGGGGGGTAATCCACCTAGGTCAGGGCCCAGCCTGGCACAGGGTAACGGTCTGGAGGGCGCAGGACGAGGGATTGGGGATGTCATCAGCACGGTGGATGGGAGGGGCAGATATGGCGGGAGCAGAGGACCTTATCTTGTGCCGGGGGTGCGCACTCGCTACTTGAGAGCGATTGCACACCCCGGTCCTCAAGGCTCCCCTCGGATACTAGGTGGCTCAGATACTCAGGACCTGGGCCTCCGGCTGATGCTGTGCAACGCCAGGTCCGTGGTAAATAAGGCCCCCCTCATTTACGATCTTATTCAAGAGGGGGGAGCGGACCTGGCGGGTATTACGGAGACCTGGTTGGGCCCGGAGGGAGGGGTCCCTCTGGTTGAGATGTGTCCACCAGGCTTCAGAGCATTCCATCAGCCGAGGGCCCAGGGGAGGGGCGGGGGGGGTGGCTGTTATTATTAACGAAGGTCTGGGTCCGAGGGAGACCACTGTGCCACAGATTGCCGGATGTGAGTCCCTCTTTGTGAGATGGGGTCATGGGGTTCAGATGGGCTTGCTGCTTACATACCTGGCTCCCTGCCACGTGGCAACGGCCCTGCCCGAGCTACTTGACGTGATAGCCACGGTGGCAGTTGATACACCCAGGCTTATGGTCATGGGTGATTTCAATCTGCCGTCCGTTGGTGAAACGTCAGAGATGGCTCGGGAGTTCATGGCTTCCATGACGGCCATGGACCTGACCCAGTTAGTTCATGGCCCCACTCACAGGGGGGGACACACGCTGGACCTGATTTTTGTCTCTGGCCAGTGGTTGAGTGGTCTTATTATAGGGGATATAGACATGAAACCCTTGTCATGGTCAGATCACTCACTCCTTCGTCTGGACCTTCGAACCGCTACACCCCGCCGCAGGGAGGCAGACCCAATTAGATGGATCCGCCCCAGGTGCCTGATGGATCCTGATATGTTCCAGACGGAGCTTGGGCCAATTCCTGAAGATCTGGCACATGACTCGGCTGAGGACCTGGTAGCTGGCTGGGATCGGGCGGCTGGTGGGGCCTTGGATCGAGTCGTGCCTTTGCGGCCTCTGACCCGGTGTCGATCCCTCGTGGCTCCTTGGTTCACCGAGGAGCTGAGGGAGATGAAACGCCGGAAAAGACGCCTAGAGAGCGGTTGGAAGGCCAGTCTCGCTGAATCTGACCGAACACTGGTAAGGTCGCATATTAAGACCTACCTAGTGGCGATAAAGACGGCAAAGTTTAACTACTTTTCCGCCTCTATTGCGTCATCAGGGAATCGTCCAGCCGCCCTGTTCAGAGTAACCGCTCCCTGCTCCATCCGGGAGCGCGGGAGGATCCCTTGGAAGGCAGGGTGGAGGATTTCGGACAATACCTGTATGACAAAATCGCTCAGATCCGGGGGGATTTGGACTCTGACTGGGTAGATCAGGGCAGGGTGACGAGGAATAGTCTTGAGAATGTTACCTGGGAGGAGTTTGATGCTGTGACTCCGGATGATGTGGACAGGATTTTGGGGAGACTTAGTGCGGCCACATGTTTACTGGACCCGTGTCCCTCCTGGTTGGTACTGGCCTCCTGGGAGGTTACACGAGGCTGGCTCCAGGGTGTTATCAACGCTTCGTTGAGTGAGGGTCACTTCCCCGCCGCCTTGAAAGAAGCGGTGGTAAGGCCCTCCTCAAGAAGCCGTCCCTGGATCCGGCAATATTGGCCAACTATCGTCCTGTCTCCAACCTTCGCTTCCTGGCGAAGGTTGTTGAGAGTGTGGTCGCACGACAGTTTCCACAATTCTTGGAGGAAACATCCTATCTAGATCCATTCCAGTCGGGTTTCAGGCCTGGACACAGCACGGAAATGGCATTGGTCGCGTTGGTGGATGATCTCTGGAGGGCTCGGGACAGGGGTTATTCCTCTGTTCTGGTCCTATTAGATCTCTCAGCGGCTTTTGATACCATCGACCATGGTATCATGCTGCACCGGCTGGAAGAGTTGGGGGTGGGAGGCACTGTGTTGCGGTGGTTCTCCTCCTTTCTCTCCGACCGGTCACAGTTTGTGTTGGCAGGGAGGCAGAGGTCGACCTCGAGGCCTCTCATTTGTGGAGTGCCGCAAGGATCGGTCCTCTCGCCCCTTCTGTTCAACATTTATGTGAAGCCGCTGGGCGAGATCATCCGTGGCTTTGGGGTGAGATACCACCAGTACGCTGATGACACCCAGCTGTACATCTCCACCCCAGGCCACCCCAACGATGCCCTTGAAGTGATGTCCCAGTGCCTGGAGGCTGTGCGGATCTGGATGGGGAGGAACAGGCTCACGCTCAACCCTTCCAAGACTGAGTGGCTGTGGCTCCCGGCATCCCGATATAGTCAGTTGACTCCATCACTGACTATTGGGGGCGAGTCGTTGGCCCCCACAGAGAGGGCTCGCAATCTGGGAGTCCTCCTGGATAGGCAGCTGTCCTTGGAGGAACATCTGACGGCTGTAACCAGGGGGACCTTTTGTCAGGTTCGCCTGATCCGCCAGTTGCGGCCCTTTCTTGATCGGGATTCCCTGTGCACAGTCACTCATGCCCTCGTCACCTCTCACCTTGACTACTGCAACGCTCTCTACATGGGGCTCCCCTTGAGGAGCACCCGGAGGCTCCAACTGGTCCAGAATGCAGCAGCGCGGGTAGTGACGGGAGCAGCCTGGCGCTCCCATGTAACACCGCTCCTGCGCGAGCTGCACTGGCTCCCAGTGGTCTTCCGGGTGCACTTCAAGGTGTTGGTTATCACCTTTAAAGCGCTCCATGGCATAGGGCCTAGCTATCTTCGAGACCGCCTGCTGCCATCGACGATCTCCCATCGACCCGTGCGCTCCCACAGAGAGGGCCTCCTCGGGGTGCCATCAGCCAAACAGTGCAGGCTGGTGACCCCCAGGGGGAGGGCCTTCTCTGTGGGGGCACCTACCCTCTGGAATCAATTGCCTCCAGAGATAAGGAGAATCCAAGACCTCGGTGCCTTCCGCCGTGCCCTTAAAACCTTCCTTTTCCAGCAAGCCGGGCTGGCCTAATTTTTTTAAGTGTTTTTAAGTGTTTTGTTTATTGTTTTTAATTAATGGGGCCAAATTTATATATGTATATTTTAACTGTATTTTAATATTTGTATTTGATGTTTTTACTTGGCTGTTCACCGCCCTGAGTCCTCAGGGAGAAGGGCGGTATACAAATTCAAAAATAAAATAAAATAAAATAAAATAAATAAAATAATCTTAGTAATTTTAATTTTTACACATTCAGCTAAAATCAGCAACAACTCTGGAATGAATTGAGGAGCATACAAAAAGGCTTCAGGTGGCTCATTTGCATATATTGTAACCACAATATAAATCTATCATTGCTATCGAGCTCTCAAGTGGTGAAGCTGCTCTTGGAGAGAAGTTCGTGAAATAGAGTCATTCATTCCCTGGAAGTATGGCACAAATTGCATGCGGAAGGACAAATATTTAGTGTTTAGCATCCTTAGTTAGAAGAATCAAGTAATGGGAATGAGGCTAACAGGGTTGATAAACCTTTTAGGATTGCAGCATAAGGAATGCATAAAAAAGTTATGATATCCTTCCAGGATGTGCACTTATTTATCTATTGGTCTGAGGCAGTGGTGAAATCCAAATTTTTTTACTATTGGTTCTGTGGGCTTGGCTTGGTGGGCATGGTGTGGTTTGGTGGACATGGCTTAGTGGGCATGGCAGGGAAGGATACTGCAAAATTCCCATTCCCTCCCCACTCCTGGGGGAAGGATATTGCAAAATCTCCATTCCCACCATTCCCACCCCACTCCAGGGGAAGGATACTGCAAAATCTTCATTCCCTCCCCACTCCTGGGGGAAGGATATTGCAAAATCTCCATTCCCACCCCACTCCAGAGGAAGGATACTGCAAAATCCCCATTCCCACCCCACTCCAGGGGAAAGATACTGCAAAATTCCCATTTCCACCCCACTCTGGGGCTAGCCAGAGGTGGTATTTGCCGGTTCTCCGAACTATTCAAAATTTCCGCTACTGGTTCTCCAGAACCTGTCAGAACCTACTGGATTTCACCTCTGGCCTGAGGTTTTTCTCCCTCTCTTCCAATGCATAGAAATATTAAAATGTTTTAAAAGAAAATATTAAAAAACATATAATAAAAATTACATAGGAGCCAGAGGATAGGTTCTTTTAACCTTTATATCACCTGTAATGAGAATGCTTTTAAAAAACAGAGGGCTTTGACCAGAATCTACATACAGCCTTACATAGTCTAAAAGCATAGTAATAGCTTCAGTAATCGTAATAAATGCTATGACCGTTACATTAACTTTTACATTATATGTCCTGCAAAAGTGCACCGTGTATTTTTTCAAGCTACTTACTATCCTCTGCTGTATCTATCAGAGTCCAGTTGCTGAATGTATCACCGTATTCATTGCAGGCAATAACCCTCAACTCATAAGATGTATATGGCTGCAGGTTCTTCAGTATGTGATGTAAATAAATTGTTGGTTTAGAAAACAACCTAAAGCAAAAAAAAAAAAATACATATTTTAAGATGGGAAATACAAGATCACAAGGGAATACTGTATGGACAGAAGTGCTGCATTTGAGATAAACCATCTCATATCAGTTTGCATCTCTTCAGAATACAGCAGAGATTTACTTACTTACTCTGTATTATTTTCTGGGCAGTTCTTAAGTCTTATTTGGAGTCGGTATCTGGGTAAGCCTGGAGCATTGTTGCGAACTGGTATAGACCAGAAAACCTGAAGACTGGTCGGAGTAGCAGATGAAAGCCTAGGAGGCAACATGCCATCTGGAGCTGTTGGAAAAACATGGATGAATTAGAGCAGAGAAAGATTTGGGCAACATATGCTGGATGGAATCAAAAAACTTAATATACTGGAAAACTGATATTGAGGATCAACAGCAATTAAAGCAGAGTTTAATTTAACATCTGTTTCTGCTACTGCAGTATTGGGCTACCCACTTCTTATATTATAATAATGTTATCATAGTACATCCATACTAATATAAATCCATAGATAGATTAATATGTGATGCTCTCAAATGTATAATGCTGTGTATCTATCTTATCATCTGAAAACAACTGTTTTGGCTCACCTGAGCATGATTGCTATCTGGTACATTAACAAATCAGCTTCAAAATCAATGACTAAAGATACCTGCTTTTTCTATCCTCAGCAATTACAAGCTACATAATAAGCTATCTTGCATACTTCTAGTTCTAGTCACGTGTAAGCCAAGCATGATCAAAGGAGCGCAATGTTATTATACATGATAACATGACACCACTTATTAATTATATTAATTGCATGCAAATCACATTTTATCCACATTTCAGGGTAGATGAAGGTAGACCTTTAAAATCAATGAAGTTCTAAACAAAAATACAATAGCAATCACAATGATAGGAACAGAAAAAGAATAATTAAGCTAAAATGTCAAAAAGAGGTTTCAGCTTGATGCAGAAAGGAATTCATTGTTGGCCTTTGTCTAAGAAGACATTCCAAAAATGAGGTACAATTTCTATAGATAGAACATATGAAAACTGTTACTTAGGCTATTTTAACTATTACTGACTGATCAATAGCAACTTCTTTGATAATTAATAGCTGTCTTCTTTTTCACAGTTTCAGTCACAAATTGACAACTGTGGACCTTGCTTCATACTTAAGTACTTAAGAGGCTGTGTGCATAAGTGCACTAACATGCCTATCATCCCTGTCATTGTATTTCTATTCTCTTATTCTTGTTTTTGTTTTTGTTTGACAAATTCCAATAAATAAAAAATAAATAAGAAATAGAAATGCTGTTTTAGATATTGAAAGCCAATTAGACTTTAAATGTAAGAGTTTAATTTTTAACAGTAACAGAATTGAAAGGTACCTTAGAGGTCATCTAGTCCAACCCCCTGCTCACGCAGGAGACTTATACTAGGGATTTGAACCGCCAAACTGCTGACCTTTCTGATTGACAGGCTCAGCATCTTAGCCACCGAGCCACCTAGCTAGGTTAAAAAGTACATTGGCACTTTTGACTGAGCTTGATGGCTGGGATTTAGAAGTCATTTTCAGAATTCAGACTTCTAAAACACATCTAAATGCTAGTTGTGACATTTGTGAGAGATTTGAGAGCAGTTATGAAATAGTGAAAAGAACAAAAATCCTGTTGTGCATGTTTAAACAAATGCTGTACATGGAACGCTTAATGTCCTGAGAATTTATTGATAATTAAACTTTCAAAGCCACAATTCCTTATAAGCCATGGTTTAAGAAGAGTGAAATGAGTATTGGATCCTAGTGTTGCTTCTCTATTCCTGTTCTCTCTGCAAAACAGAAGCTGGCCTCAGCATTGAATTTTTGCCTTGTCTTAATCCAGAGTTCCTATTAACGAATTTTGTAATAGTAAATTGCAAGTGTCTCAGAATACAAAAAAAAAGGGCAGCTTTTGTTGCCAAAAGGTTAGCTGCTTCTGGTTTATATGTAGAGCAGTGTAGGTTGTTCCTATTGCCTTAAAGGTTATCCCTAAGCTCTGTATAATTTCTGAAAGGCAACCTTCCACTCAGTCACCCTCCACACTTCCTGATTGCACTCCAAGGATCTAAATGGAGTCTCTAATAATGCTTTTTTCCAAGATATTTTGAAAAACTGGATCCATTATTAAACTAATCAAGAGCATCCAAACAGCTGATCACCTATAACGATAGATCAAACTTCTCATTATTCAAAAATATTCACATATTTTTATGAATAGGAACTTGATAGGAGTGTTCCCCCTTTCATTTCTTTAGTTCTAATATTTCCTATAAAGACTAACTTCATACAAAAGCAATAATTATAAGGGAGCAATAATTTCTCTGTCACTTTCTTAATAGAAGAGCCATTTACCTATCAGGATGATATACTGCCTCTAACAAACAATGCTACTTCAACTGCCCTTTTTGAAGTTTACTACATACCTCAAGGGGCAACCACTCCACTTGTAACTTACTGAATCAACACATCTTGTCCAGTAAATGCTCAATTAGCATGGCAAAATAGCATGCAATGGGTGAAGAATTTAATTTTATTTCTCCTTAGCAGCACAAACTAGTCAGTTTTGCTATTTTAAAGATTAAGCAAAGGTTAAGAAATTAAATTCCACTGCAAACTCTTGGAAAGAAAGACAGGCTTTACATAAAAATAAATGAACTATTAAGAGATATGTACAGCCAAGTTGCACAAATGTCCATACACGTGGAGCCAGAGCCATACCGTTGCAGCCCTAGTATATACCAACACAGCTAGTCTTAATCTGACTTAATAAAGCTAATGATATTATATTAAGAACATTTTGTTCTTCCTTCATTGACAAAAACTGATCGGTAAAACAGAAAGAATTTTTTAAGATTTTAAAAATTCTAATGTCTATCCAAATTGAGAATTTGGGTGTCCTGATTTGAAGGCTTTCCTCAAAATCTGGGAAAATAAAAAGAAACCATATTTTTATTACTGAATGTCAGTTGAGTGCTCTTTTTTTCTGACAGCTCCCCTTACATCGCAAAAATATACAAGCTGTGCTCAATGAAGTAAGATCATCTAAGAGGCGAGAATTTCATACAATTGGTGAACTTATCAAACTGAGATGTTTCTTTCTAAAGAAGAAAGAAACTCAGATTTTAAAAAATGCAATAAAACATCTATGTGACCAATTCTTTACTGCCATTTCGGATTTGTCATATATTTTTCACATATATGATGTGCAAACAAAAGTCACAGAAGAATACGTGAAAAAATTGAAAAAAATAAAAATTGATATTTAATCAATCTATAGGGCAGTTCCTTTCATGTATAACTCTAAAGTGACTTATAATAATAGAAAGGAAAATAAAATACACATCAACAAAAAGGAACAAACAATATGTAGCCAAATAATAACCTTTTTACACAAAAATTATCTTACTCAGTGTTCAAGCCCAATGTGTAGGCGAACAGCCATGTCTTAAATGTTCTACAAAAATTTGGCAAAATCAGGTCTTTCTCAATCTTAAGGGGTATTCTGTCCCATTGGGCACACACTGCATGACAGAAAAGGCATGCATTTTGGATTCCATCAGATTACATTTTTAAGTGAAAGGATTATTATCTTGCCAGGGCAGCCAGAGATAAACAGCTGGTTGTACAGGTAACCTAGTGCACAGGTGTCAAACTCGTGGCATCACATTGCCATCATTGGTGTTTCGCAATGTTTTCCTCATTCGTGGAGCTAGGGTGGGCGTTGCCTGCGTGTGATGCATCTGGCCCATGGTCTGCCAGTTTGACACCCCTGATCTAGTGCAATGCCAATAAGGACTCTATAGGTTGTATTCAGCATCTTGAATTATACTAAATTGCAATAGAAAACTAGGTGTTTAAATACTAAGACTGACGAGCCAAACATGAAGCTACAGGAACTCAAAACAGTTACGATAATCCTGGCAAATCATAAAATGTCAGGAATGACAACTGAACAACTGAACAGAAACAACAATAAATCATCTCTGTAGCCAGGTTGAACATCAACATGGACAAATGACCACTGACCAGAGACTACAATCATGGTGAAAGGTAAAGGATGCCATATTTCCTACTTTGGTCTTTAGTATAGCAGACTGTAGTACACCAGAGGACACTACTGTGACCACTGTAAAAGCACTGAAATGATTACCAGCAGAAACAAATATGACTTTGTGAATAATGACAAGCGGAACTACTTGCAAGTAATTTTGTAAATATATTCCAAATCATAATTTTGCTGATGTAGCTAAGCATGTAAAGTAATTGTAAGTATATCTATAGAATAAGATGACTGGCAGTTTTGTTAGGTGCTCACTTCTTGTAGCTGATGTGAGGAATTGATAGTCAATTTCTTTAGCTTTCTTTCCCAAGACTAGAACTTTCAGTATCCCTAATCACCACTCTTGTTGTCTGAGCTTGCAAATCACACAAGTACTATATGCAAGCATATTTATATGTTTATCATCCTTACTGGTAAACTGTGCACAGAACTTTAAAAAATGCCAATAAGCAATTAGTTGACTGATTAATGATTATAAATACATGTCAGAGATACACTCAACGAAATTTATGGCTGTCCAGGAAAGCCAATTAGATGTCATGCTGTTTAAATAGATACCTAGCCAACAAGCCACAGAATAATGAGCTTCCAAAAGAAGAATTCAACAACAAAAATGCATCTATAAAGGACCTCATATGCGAAACCAAACTTATGAATACATTTCTTAATAAAGCTCTCAATATTTACAATTCTTCAAAAATTTATGAAAATCTCCTCTATTTAAAGATTCATGAATTGAAAAATAATCCAAGTATAATTTTATGGAATTATTATTATACAATTGTATCTTTTCATACTGCTGAAGCTTATTGTGGCATTAAATGTTGGGGCCAATTGATTGGTTTGTCAATTTCTGCACCTGCCATCTTAAAACATAGTGGTTCACACAAACATTTGATTAAACTTGGCTATAGTGCCTTTTGATTTGCTTCAATATTGTCCTGAATTTCAATATTAGTTTACTTTTGATGTTTCTATTGAACAATTTTTGTTTTTATGAAGGTACATCATCTCATTTATTTTGAAAAATATAGATTTATTGAAAGAAAAAATAATTAGAGAAATGCAATCAAATCAATTTTTTTAAAAATACATTAAAAGATACTTGAACAAGGAAGTATTTAACTCTGCTGTTTCCAGATCAGTAAGGTCATGTCAAAGTCCTCAAAGATCAATTTCAGAAAGAGTTTGAACAATTCTCTT